AATAACTACGAATAGGTAGACGTTCTATCTAACGTAGAAACTAATTTAAAACTAAATATATATAGGTTAAGTAAAAACTTAGGTAAGTAGGTAGGCTATTCTTATATATATATATATATATATATATATGTATATATATATATTCATGGCACAACAAAAACCAAATTTTTAGTGCAAGTACAGACCTTTTTTTTTAGTCTAATTAGGCACACAACAGCAGATGTCTTTCTTATCTCATAACACACCTAAATACACATATAAAATGTTTTTTAAGATTTTTAGAAACATAATGAATTAAAGAAAATTAAGATTACATAAACTTTCTTAAAAACAAACAAAAAAATTATAAATGTTTTTTTATCAATAACAGTTTTCAATAAGAAAATATCCCAATAGTTATTTAGTCTTTCTGGCCAATCAGATTAATTTTTTATGTAAATGTGAATAATGTATAAACTAACTGGCCAATCAGATTATTTTTTTATGTAAATATGAATAATGTATAAACTGGTCAATCAGATTATTTGTGAATAATGTATAAACTAACTGGCCAATGAGATAAATTTTTTATGTAACTGTGAATTATGTATAAACTAAATCAGATAAAAATTAAATGCTGACAAAATGTTACTCGGCAAGATGCATCCTCACAAATATTATAAAATATCGTTGTTTTTTCTTGATTATTACACAAATAAGAACTATTATTATATGAATAAAGAAATAAGAGTATTTTACATCACTTATCTGAAGTGATTATTCTTAAGTATTTAAACTCACTAAATTAGGTAAACTATTTGGAATTTGAAGGAGGATGTACTAAATTTCATTCTCTGTTTTTTACACCTACATGATAAATGTACCTATACAATTCAAGATTAAACACAGAATACAGTTAAATCCTGGCAAAGGATGCAAAATGTCAAGAATGTTTTTAAAAAACTAAAATTATCTCCCTTGACTTGGAGTGGAGTGACAAGCAAGTAATAGTTAATTAATATTAACTTCCAATCAGATCAAGTTACCTACTTAGAGGAAACTAAAAACTGACATTGTAATGAGTATATTTAATTAAATATCATTTTCTTATGTTCTTACAAAGATTAGAATGCATTTTATCAGTTGGTTAACCTCACTGTTAACCCAATATTCTCTCGCAAAGTTCGGCCAGCTTAGGAGATTTAGGTTAGTCCTAAATGCGTATATTAAGCTAACAATGCAAAACAATTTCTATAAGGAGTATGGTAATGAAAGCTAAAAATATTAAATTAGATACATTAAACATTTTAACCAATATTGCTAATGAAAGTAACAGTTAAAAAATAATAGAGCATATCTATTTTGTGTTCACATGGTAATATTATAGGTTAATAAACACAAGTTATCCTAACTCATTTGAAAACATATCCACTTTTGGTTTTCATACTTATTGTTTTATTGTTCAACTAGCGAAAGTATCCAGCTTCGTTCGGGTTAGTAGGTTGATTTATTTTAGATGACTATGTCAGTGTATGTATTTTGAAACCATTTTAGCAGGATGTGGCCTGTTTATATAGGTAACCTTCCCTCTGACTTGTGTTCCAATTTTAAACTTAAACAATTAAAAACAAAACAAATAACAAAAACATACCTCTTTAATTAACGTAGCCTCTAAATTGGAAAACAACAAATACTTTTTTGAATTTTGTAGTTTATACATTTAATATTATACTTTCAAGACATAGCCTCTTAACAACAATATTAAGTTATACTTTTAATGCCAAGAATCTCAATATAAAAACCATTGTTGGAATGCATTGTAACCAAAATGCACTGGTTTTTCTATATATTAGAAGTTGTTATATAAGGAACCACTTCTTTTCTATGTGGTTTATCACTAGATTGCCTCATTAAAAAGATGCGCAGGCACATGCAAGCAATCACGTGCATGTCTGTCTGTGATTTCTATTTGTAATATAAGGAAATACTCCATTAACTCATGTTTGATGCAATTATTGTGACAGTATAGATTCTAAATGGCCAGCTTATTCACCTCATCATGATGTTGAGAAATACAGTGGTCAGTGATTTGGTAACCAAAACTAAAATGCCATTGATAAATCAAAATTCATACTCAATGTTAAGAAAAACTATAGTCATTATTAAATAGCTAAGACAGTGTCACTGATGCATAAAAAATGTAGTACTGATATTGTTAAAAGGAACAGTATAATTACTGTTTTTGAAAAAAAACAAAAAAAACTGTCACTGTTACACAAAAAGTCAATTCTGCTATTGTTGAGAGAAATAATATTCACCCACTTGGCAACTAAGAAGATATCGTTGGTACACCAAAAAGTTCTTACTGAATTTGTTGATTATTCTTGACTTGATAGTATGTCAGAGAATTTCATTAGTATATCAAAACCTTGGTAACAATATTCACACTTCTTTTTTATGTGGCTTTTTGCTAGCTTGCCTCATAAAAAGATGAGCGCATGCACATGCATGTCTGTATGACCCTGTGATTTCTATTTGTAATAAAAAGAATCACTTCATTTCTATGTAGTTTTTCTCTAGTTTGTCTTATTATGCATGCATGTGGATAAGTAATAATACCCAGGTGCACACCCTCGTGGTCCACTTAGTATGGTTTCAAAATTTCAGTTTCTAGGTTTTTTCCTCTTGGAGCTATGGTGGTCACATATTCTTTTCTATGTGTTTTTTCACTAGTTTTCCTCATTAAAAAGATGCACACACGCATGCGAGTACATAAGTGGATAAGTAATAAATACCCAGGTACACACCCTCAGTATGGGTGCAAAATTTCAGTGGTCTACGTTCTTTCTCCTAGGACTGTGGCAGTCACACTTCTATGTGGTTTTTCACTAACTTTCCTCATTAAAAAGATGTGCACACATATGCACGTGGATAAGTAGTAATACCTAGGTGAACATCCTCTGGGTCCACTTAGTATGGGTGCAAAATTTCAGGTTTCTAGGCTCATTCCTCTTGGAGATATGGTGGTTATATTTTTTTCTATGTTGTTTTTCCCTACATTGCATCATGAAAAGATGTGCACATGCACACTCATGTGGATAAGTAATAATACCTATGTGCACACACTCAGGGTCTACTTAGTATGTGTGCAAAATTTCAGATTTCCTCTTGAAGCTATGGCAATCACATACACACACAGAGACATGCTCTTTTATTATTATAGATTAAATTTCACAAGATTATTAACTTTGAATAGATATTTGTTCAGTATAAAATAGCATAATTTATCATCAGAGTCAACTCACCTCACTTATTTGATTGATTTCACATGTCAGCTGAGAAAGAAGCTGGACCCCAATGACACAATATTCTACTGAACCCTGAAACATGTAAAATCAACTTCTTACTATACACAGCAAACTTAAGATACATAATTACTTAATTAATTCATGTATTCATTCTTGGCAGCTTCTATTTTATTAGTGATCTCCATGACCATGTTCTGTAAAGTTTGAAATGTTTCTTCTTCAATCAAGCACAGTTTTATTATTTCCTGAATATAGAGGGCAATGTCTCACATTTTAAAACAGTGTACAGTCTTAATTTCTTAACATTTCATCCACACCAGGCAAAAAAAAATACTGCAAGATACAACAAAACTTTAAACTTTATGAACATGCTGCTCAGTTTTTAAAACAAAAATTTCATAGCATTTATAAGTTTTCAGTATAAATAAAAATGCAAGCACTGTATTTTTGTATTTATGATACAAAATTGAAGTGTTAGCATCAATGGACTAATGAAAACAAAATAAAGATTCTGTGAAAATGCAATTTTATAGAAAACATATTGCACGAAAATACAATTAAAACTGAATTATTTCGTAAAAAGTTATTTCAAAAGTACATTACTAAAATACTTGATACTACTGGTTATAATTTATCTAAAATTAAATAAAAAGAGTAAAAATTAGATTTGAGCAATTAACTTGACATAATTGACTACTTATGAGCACTGATTACATCAATTAGTTTCATATAAAATAATACATTAACCCTATTTATATGGACCTGGTCATTTTGACCAACCTTACAACCAGTGTGTAACCACCGAGTAAGCATGCAACTACACATACTACAACTTTTAATGCAAATAATTTTATCTTCACAAAATTTTGCAAGCTTTTAGTAAACAAGTCTTTTGCACACAAAAAAATCAGATTTACTTTAACCATTTCATGCCAGATACCCCTTTAAACACTTTTCTGTGCAAGGCACTGAGTTACACTCAAAACTTAATTAAACACCTTTTCTATCAATGTATGTGAATGAAATTAACATTCTAATGTACGTTATGATTTGAAGTTTTACATTATTTCAAAAGAAACCTGTAAAAAAACAACTTCAAACTTCAGATGTATTGTCACATAACCCACAAGCTATGAAAACTCTCTACTTTGGCACTCCATATCTTGAATAATATAGTGCCAGTTGTGTAGATGTACATCTAGACAATAAGACGTTTATTTAACCTATTGGCACTTAGATTTCAAAGTTCTCTGGATGAATGCAGTTGAAACAAGTAATAAATTCTGTCAAACTCTGACTGGTGCCATGCCTACCTTCAATACATTTGTTTGAGCTTTATAGTCTACATATAGAGGTTACATATACATGTATATAGTCCTTAGAAAGTGCTCATTTTACACTATAATCCAACAGTTAGTTTGAAATTGGCACTCAGCTTTTGTCATGAGGTAGATGTAACTGCCTATAGTATTGTTGGCTGCTTGATCAATGATAGCACTTATGGTTGTTTCTTACCTAAATATGTTATAAGTAAAGACAAAGTTAAATTGTATTTAGGTCTTACTTTTATATCTTAGTTGATTATGCATTATTTATGTTTTAAAATGCATAATTCAAAGATTTAAACATTTCTTAAATATACATCATACTTTGCATCAATTCTCAAGGCTTAAGATTTTGTGCAAGGGTAAAATAATTTTGCCGAAGGCTTGTACATCTCTGCTAAAGTTACTGTAATTATTCTCCGGGGGCACCATTGACTTGTGCTGAGATAATTAAAGGTAAAAAAACAGGAAAAGAAATAAAATGTTAAAAATTAACTATATGTGAAAAGGAAAATACCTTAAATTACGCACATGATCCAAAGAAGATATTTGAAGACTCTTCTATGAATGGTTAAAAAGTATGTACTTTTTTACCGTTTCCTAATTTTAAACATTTCATTGCATTGTACATTGATGATAATAGCTAAAGTTAGTAATATGGTAGAGAAAATGAAAAGTAAAATAAAATCTTTACCTTAAAAAACATTTGATATTAATTTAGGAGGTTCTACAGGTTATGAAATATGAAAACTATAAGATAAAGAAAAGTATTTTTATACTTAAAATGCAAATCACTTTGCACTCAAATTATTTAGAGTTTGAGTGCAAATAACTACTATAGATAAATAACATTTTCATTAGAAAAACTTAATTAAAATAATGTCATTCTTTGTGTACAAGATACTTATAAACTTTAAAATCATAAATGTCCTTCCCCAGTCAAGTAGACGTGTTTCACATCTGTCCGTTCCAAAAGGGCTAACTAAGCATTTTTACCAAAGATTTGTGTGGGAACTTAAGAAGGGAGAGTCTAACTCAGACTCTGACTAGTCTGAATGCAAGTTGATTTTCATGTTAAGATTTCAAATACTTATTTTTATCTTAAAGTTTTCAAATTTCCTTTCAATAACCTCTAGAACTTCCTGTATGAATATAAAATTGTTTTTGGTAAACCTTTATACTTTATTTCTTATTTTCCCTACTCTAACACTAACTGTAGGAAAATAGTCAAGGTACAGTGAAACAAAAAAAACAAAAACTGAAATCAATAATATTTTTCTACAACGATTGCAGATTGTAATAGCCAATTACAATTATTCATCTTTACAGCCTCAGCTTTCTAACTATTTCATATCTGCTTGCTTTTAATTCTATTACTTTACAATGCCCATTAGACCCTATCTAAGTATATCACAGGCAAGTAACCACAGTGGGATAACTTAGTGCAAACAATCAGTCAGATTACAAACACAACACAGTTTCATAGAGCTGGTCTCATCAAATTTTTAAATTTAATTTCTAAAATTTACTAAAATATCAGTATAGACTAAGTTTCTAATTTTTAAATTAATTACTTTTGTTAAAAAATATAGTTAACAATAAATAAAAATTATATGTTATTTAGTAAACTAAAACTTTATCCTTCTATTGGTTATAAATTTTGCAATAGCAAATGCCAGAGAAAAAGTATGTCAATTTGTGAAAGAGAGGATGTGATACATGGGTACCACAAGGGAGTCAGACTTTTTAGTTCATACCTCTATAAATAAAGTACATTGATGGCTATAAAAATTAGACTAAGCCTTAGTAATATCTAAGCTATAATGTGTAATTTATTAAACGCAGGACATCAGAAATGGATGATTAAAAAAAATATAGAGGATGGGCACGTCGGAGCGAACAAATGTCACAATACACATACATGGGGAGATTAAGAATTTATTTAAATATCTCCTTTTAAAATTAAGAAACTAAAACTTATACAATATCATAATTTGATTTATTAACTATGTTTTGATGCCAATTTATTTGTATACATTAATAATAATGTAGTTTAATTAAATTTAGAATGCAACTCTGTAAAAAGGTATGACACATGCACCTTCACCTACTCATAGTGGTGAAAGGGTCAGCTGACTTTCTAACTAAGCTGTTTGTAGTAGAAAATCACTATTGCAAACAATCAAACTAAGGCTAAATATATACTTACAAATGCCAAAACAAAATAACTGTACAAGGAATCTTGTAAAGAAAAATGTACTCATTCTATTGGTTATAAATAATCCAATAGCAATATCAGATAGTATTATTAACATTTTTTTTGAAAGATAAAATAAGATGGGTGGGAATTATCATATGGGTTTTACTGATTTTATATTTCAGTAAATCAAGAAGATTAGAGGTTCTAGTTTATATTCTGGTTTGTCAATATCTATAGTATGTGTTTTATTAAGTTAAAAACCCAGAAGATTATATAAAGGTTGGAAGAAAATTTAAAATGGGCAATTTAGAAAGCAGACACATTATGTGATACATAGATGTGAAGGTTGAGAATTTATTCAAATATTTCCTTTTGAAGTTAAAAAATTAAAACTTGTATAACATAAAAATTTGGATTATAAACTATGTTTGATGTCAAACTTATTGCCATACATTGATAATAAAAATGTTTAATCAAATTTTGAATGTAACAATGTAAAAAAGGTCATGATTTGTACACTTTGATTCTCCTGTATGCATAGGGTTAATGTCACAAAAAGAATTAACTAATTGAAATTAAGGTTTCCAATTATTACGACAATCCAGTGACAGAAATATTGCCATTATGATTTATTATATTATTTTTTGAATAATTCAAGTTGTTCAGCTTAATTGATGTGTGTCATGAATCACAAAAATAAAAAAATAATCAATTAATCATAATTATGTTTTCTGATTATTCCAACTATCCAAATAAATTGTAATATATCCATTATGTTTGTTTGTTATTAAATACGAAACTATGCTATGGGCTATATGTGCTCTGCCCACTGCAGGTATAGAAACCAGATTTGTAGCATTAGAAGTTTTTCTTAGTCAACTCATGTGAAAATCAATGAGTTTAATGTAATTGATTAATATGATCAATTAGCAAATTCAACTAATCACCCAGCTCTATACAAAATACAATTAATTAAATAAGCAAATATAAAAACCTTATTTTTAGTCTCTTTCTTTTTTAAGTATTTTCATTTTAATTTTTGATAACATCTTATATTTCACCATAAGGCACTTATTATGCTGCATCAAAAACCACGTGGCTTCTTTATATTTTATTGAGTTTTTAAGCTATTAGAACTCTACTAAACATAACATGTGCTGATATAAAACAAAAATGCAAACATGTTTCAAATTAATTTTGTTTATGATAAAAGTCCATTTTTGTGGTATTTGCGACATTTTCAATATGTAAGTTTAGTGACTTTATCTGAATACAGTATAAAAAATTAATTCTTATTACCCAGTGCTCAATGACTGTATCAACAGTACACCACACGCATCGTTAACACAAATATATACAAATACAAACTGTTAAACATACCTGCAAAAAACCCTGAACTTGGTTAATAATGTTTCGAAACACAAACTCTTCTTTATCTGATTCAAACCAACCTAACTTGATTATTTTAGCAAAGAGTTGCACTAATGCTTGTGTCACATAGTTGGTAAGTTTTGGTCGAGTTGCTAAGTAACGTAAAATGTAATTTCCTGGAAAAAAATTTCAAATTGTAAAACATTTAATCATCACACTTGCAGGTAAATAAGTATGAGTTAATATTAAAATAAATTCATTTAATCATCACACTTGCAGATCAATAACTATGAGTTTAACATTAAAATAAATTCATTTAATCATCACACTTGCAGATCAAGAACTATGAGTTTAACATTAAAATAAATTCATTTAATCATCACACTTGCAGGTAAATAACTATGAGTTTAACATTAAAATAAATTCATTTAATCATCACACTTGCAGGTAAATAACTATGAGTTTAACATTAAAATGAATTCAAGAGCTCTACACAAATCATGTTTATCATTAATATAAATAGAAAGCTTAAATCATTTACAAACCACAAAGTCCAATCCACAATTCACTTACTGACTTGCCATAATGAACTACTGAATGCACACTATTAGCAATTGTTACTTAATAGATAACTCATACTACTCAATTGCTGGCTAGAGTTTGAACCTCTATGCTTAATTTTTGGACTTAGCACACTTTAAAAATCCTTACAGTATCTTGAGGCTCTTCATGTAAATAATTCTGAGTGGAATGAGTTTTTGTAATTTATATAATAAAGCTGGACAATTAACTTGAATGATTTCAATGATTACCTATAAGCATTGATTATATTTACTGATGTCCATACAATAATCAATAAATGAAAATTATGATTAAATCAATGAAGATTACTAAAATAATAATCCAAATTAGTGTTTCCAAATATTTCTACTATCTAAGTAATCAAAATACTGCCACTATGATTTCTCATCATTTTTTATTAATTCAAAGTTGTTCAGTTTAATCAATTAATGTTATGACTCAACTAAACAAACCTTTTCCATTTATTAATATTTTCAATTATTCCAACTATCCAAATCTCTTGAGAATAATACAATTAGTTGAATTTAATTGATTAATGAGTCCAATGATATTTCGATTATAAAATTCCACTGATCACCGGCTCGAATTACTATGCTTATATTAGTAGTTTAAGCACATAAAATAATAGGCATTAATGTTAAATAGTTTCTGTTGTGCCTAGTTTCAAGATTTTTATTCTTAGGTATTTGTATTTAATAAAACAATTTATATTCATTGTCATCTCACAAAAACTTAATTCTATGTAGACTGTTCTCTCAGGTAATAAAACCATTAATGTACACTGGCTAATGATATAAAATTTTTGCTGAATTTGCTAAGTTATTTCATAAACATTTCAGGAAAAGAAACCTTGTTTTAGATTTTATTAATACATTAATACAAAAATTTTATTGATTCTTTACATCATTTCGGCTCGCTAAATCTAATGTCAATTTTTATAACACATCAATATCATTTTATTTATATACTTTGAATGAATTAAACAGTTAAGTAACTACAGATTTGTCTTACTTAATCACACAGTCAAACCTAAAACAACTTTAACTGGCACTTGGTTTCATTAAATTTTACCTACTGATCATATCAACTGTTATTAATTGAAGATTACAAACTGGAATCTTAAATGTATTATTAAAAATTTTCATAATTAGCAATATAATTCATGTATAAACACAAAAAATTTATTTGTACCCTCTGTCAGTATAAATTAAAAAATTTCAGTATGTATATTATATTTATGGATATGTAGTAAGTCATCATAAGAAAAAGATATATATTAGTAAGTTAAGAAAAGCATACTAACTGATCTCTAGCCTTTGTTGAAGATTAAGAGAACATGGTGTCCTGGACACCATTTTGGTCAGTGTTGTGGCTGCTAGAAGTTGTGCATATGATGACTGGAAAATATACAAGAAATTTGATTATTTTACTACAGCAATTTTGTATAACACAATTATAACAAAAAATTAAATGATTTACTTTACGTAAGTGAAAACCATGTTTAATATTTAAATAAAACCTGCAGTTTAGTCAATGTGAGTGATCACAGTATGTGAGAAATTACATGTAAAATAATGTGGCAACTTCACCAAAACTTTTCTTCACTATCACTTCTTTTCACGTGTCTATAAGTAGTTCAACGAACAAGAAAGTTGTTACAGTACATGAAAGAAACAGAACTTGCAGCATGTGTTCCATATAAGGTATACCCTATTCTTTCTTTAATGTTACTTTCATTGAAAGTATTGGTCAGAATATTTATTACTTTTTATGTTTCTATTATAGAGATTATTTTACATTGTTAACTTAGTATAGGAGTTTAGGGCTAACTTTATTCTCCTAAGCTGGGTGAGCCTTGAGAGGTGTTATAATGTTTCCAGCTGAACATATTGCTAACAGCAACAATACCTAACCGATGAATCAATCCATTCTAATATTTATAAGTAAAGAAACACAGTATATTTAGTGAGCTATACTCATTACCAGATTGATTTTTTAGTAATGATCTAGCTAGGTAGCTTGTTGTAGTCAAAAGTTAATGTACATCCACTATATTAAATACTGTATGCAATAAAAAGTAAAAAAGATGTAATTTCTAAACGATTCAAGTGGATTATTGTCAAGTGTTGGTGAAATAAACTTTCAGTTGATGTCATTTTAGAATTTTCTATTTTATGCCTGTACTATAGACATACCGAGTTTAATTTTATAGAAATTAAGCTTAGTAAAAGCTTTGGATTTGGCTGATATTTAAATATTCTTTTTATGAGTTTTCTAATTGTTGAACAAATTTCTTTTCTAAATTTTTCACTTCTACACTAAGCCATTGATTAGTTCCACTTATTATCTGTTAACTTGAACGAAGTGATTTTATTTGTTAACTAAATGTAGTTGATCATGTACATTTAAAGATATAAGAATTTCTAATGTTGAAATAATTTTTAATCAGAGCCATCTGAAGGCATGAATATGTGTATGGCTTCAAAAAAACCTCAGAGCTTATTTTTGGTATTAAAATATGAAAATACTTAATTGTTTTTAAACCCTTTAATGAATAAAGACAGATATATCGGTTGTAAAAAATTGGTGATTTTATACCGATAGTATTTCCCACTGAAAATTTTTACGATATGCAGTTCAAAACAGATTGCATGTCTTGCACCAAAGAGATGAATTAAATGTGACTGAAACATCCATCCACTAACATTAGCTTTTGGTCATAACAGATATTTCAACTGCTGCCCATTAATGGATAAAGTCACTGGGTAAAAACATGCTCATAACAACACACACACACAAATATATATATATATATATTGTTTTTTACAATTTCCAATAAATATATTGTCAAAGTTAACATAATTGTGCAAAGACTTTTATATTACTGATTGTCAACTGATAAACATAATTATCAGTTGCCAAGACATGGCTGAGATGATAAGCACTGAAAGTTTCTGTGGGCTTTACATACTTCTACATTGCAAAGAAAAGACTGTGTGATTGGTTTAACTTCAAAGCATTTTAAACATGAAATTTCACAGTAAAAGCAAGTACAATTTGCAAAAATTTAAAAGTGAGTCACAGATTTTCTTGAGGCAAGGCAGGGATGATGTCCCTTTCCCCTGTCTGGGTTAAACTACAATTCTAACACCCAGGATTAATTTCTGGCCCCTAAATTTTGGATATATTTGGCAATTCACGTCTACTCTAGTATCTTGTTTCCTTTCAAGATGCTATTATTCTTCCTGTAAGAAATGAAATTGTTTATGTTGGCTTTTCAACCTGTAGAAATAACAGATTTGTCTCATAATAAATTATAATAATCATTCAATTATGGTAACATAAATTACCTTCACACTATCAAAACATAGACTTACTTCTCCTCTTTCTAACAGCAGTTGACATTTTGTCAAACAGTCAGGAGAGTTTGCAAAGTTCAGAAGTGCCTTTTCAGCTTCACTTCTTTGAGTTGCTCCAGTTGCTTCATACAGCTGCTTACACAGAAGCTCCAACTGGGCCAGCTCCTGTTAAATTATGATTTTTATGATATATTAAAAGCATTCTTTTCATTATAATCTTAATGTGGTTTCACATGCTTTGGAGAAAGTGGTTTCTTTGATACGAAGAGTTGCAATATCAGTGGCACTAACAAAGATTATAAATTTAGAATCAACAGGAAAAATCATTATCTAATCAATTTCTAGTTTAAACACAAATTGAAAAATACCAAGCATTTCAATCCAGGTGAATTTTTAAAGGATATTATTGAATACAACATGTGTGTCAGGTGATTTTACTCATCCAAATGGTATTTTCAATGAAAAAGATTTAATATACATATTTTAACATTGTAAAATTCTAATCATGCTTAAAAAATACATTTAAGATAGTATAGATAAATTATTCACAAAAGCTTGCATATTGATGAAATAAAGTTAGGAATAGTTTAAAAAGTGTTTCTATAAATAATGCTCTAGAAAGCACTTAAGATGCAAAGAAAAGTACTGAACACAAATCCATACATCACCCATTTAAGACCTTTCAAACTGAATGTTACAACATAGAATTCTTGTGAAGATTTCTGTTATAAACCCAAACGTGTAATTTTCTCTTTTACTGACTACAATACAAAAATTTCTTATTACAGCTATAGTCACTTATTAGGAATAAGTACATTAAGTGTAAAATTGGTATAAAGGATAGAAGAACTTTGTGACAGCTAAGGATGTGATTTAAAAGAAATCTGGAAACTAAAAATGGTTTACAAGAACCAGCTGATAAAATTAACAGCAAAGATTTTTTTAACTATGTTAAATGTAAGAAAATTGTTACTTTAGTGATGATGGCAAGTTTTTACTGAAGACTATGAGATGGTTGAGTTTTCTACTGTTTTTACAAGAAAAGATATTGGCAATATTTATGATCCTGGACATACAGGAAACTCTCCAATTGACCTGAATCATGTGGGTATTAATCCCTTGGTGGTAAAGAGAAAGCCTGTGAAATGAAACACAGGTAAAGCACTTAAACCACATAACTAAGAATTGGATACTTGCTAATGTTACTCCTATTTTTACTCATGTGGAAGAAGGAAAGGGTGTAGACTTGACATACTTAAGAGTTTCAAAAAGCTTTTGATAAGGTGCCACACAAAAGATTAGCTAAGGATATTACATCAGTAAGAGTTGAAGAAAGATCAGTTAACTGGACTGTAGGGTGGCTGTGTAGGAGAAAGCTAAAAGTTGTTACTAAAAAGAGTCCAGTCAAACTGAATCCTTGTTAGCAGTGGAGTACCTCAGTAATCAATACTTAGGTCTTTGTTTTTTCTTATTTACATTAAAGAGACTTACAGAGCCATAATTAGTATGTTACTGAAGTTTATGGATGATGTTAAATTATTTGATATTTGAAGCTATATTAGGATGTTGAGATTACTAAAGAATGACTTGGATAAAATGGTAAGTTGTGACAAATACCTGGCAAACTACCTTTATTACAGTAATTGCAAAGTAATTCATCTGAGTGATCATAATTTTAATCCCAAATTCAATATAGTTGGAAACCCACGAATGAAGAAAAGGTTCTTGATATAGTGGTGGATAAATCAATCAAGCCATTGCTCTGTTGTTAATAGTAAGGCTAACAGAATTTACAATATATTTATAGACATACTAATTGCATGTCAAAAGAGGTATTTATCCCTATACAAATCACTACATGGGCTTCACTTGAATACTGGGTATAGTTTCAGTCTTCTTATCTGAGAAAGGACATTGCCTTATTGGAAATGATTCAGAGGGGGCTATTAGTAGAGCTGGGATATATGTGGATTTTGCTTATCAATTAATTGTCAGGCTCATTAATTAATTGATTACATTCAACTAACTGATTATTCTCACATAAGAATTGGATAGTTAAGTAGTAACCACTGAAAAAAACTTCCATTAATTGTTTATTTTCATAAGTTGTGACACTAAGCAACCTTGAATAATCAAAAATAATAAAAGAAATCATAACAACAATATTTCTATTACTTGTATAGTTGGAATTATCAAAAACAGTATTAACTGGAAACCCTAATTTTGATTAGCCTATTAGTTCCATGACATTAATCTATTTAGTTATTTCAGTTACTTTATGTGACAATAATCAATGTTTATAGCTAATGCATTATACTGAGTAATTATGTTAATTGCCCAGCTATAGCTACTAGAATGATTCTGACAATGGAAATGGTTAACATCTCGACTTACTTTCTTCCGAGAAATGAAGGGTAAGAAATGATCTTAATTACAAGATTATCTAGTGGATCACTAGGATAAAGGCCTCTTGAATTTTTTGGTGCATTCTTACAATAACAAAATAAAGGGATACAAGTTTACAAGTTGAATAAGGTTAGGCTAGACTCCAGTTAAGAGTTATATTTTTCTAATAGGCTGGTTGGCTTATGGAATGTGTTGCCATCAGCAGTGATAGTGACAAGCACTTTACAACTTTTAACAGGAGAATAAACACTTTCCTGAGAAATAAGGACAAAAGTAATATCAATTTTCACCTTCTCAATGGTAGATGTACAAGTACAGTCTTGAAGGTAAGATATTTTTTTAGTTTTCCTAAAAACATAAAACTACACTTTTGTGAAGCAAGTTATGTCAACGTTACAAAGAATTCAAGATGGAGTTGTAATACTACTATTAGTACAAAACTCCTCAAAATAACCTCAGAATACAGAGGTGTTCATGATCTCTAACAGTGGTTTTGAAACTTTTTAGACGGTATCTCCTTTTCTCTTCTCTGTAGTAATGAAGCATGCAGTAATTTTTTATTTTTTCTGTAAACTTTCTAATGCTTCCACTCCACTCAGAATACATCCTACACCCTCCAGTTTGAGAACCACCGATCTACATTAATGATACAAGAATGCTTCAGACTCAAAGCCCCTTTTACCACCAATAATTATGTTTTACATCACAGAACATGTTATGGTTTATGAATCTGCAGCACAATTTTTACTGTCAGAGGCTTTTATGCAATATACTGATATCAATACTGTTTTTTTGTTCTTTCGGTGCTTTCCAAAGTTCATCAACTGTGTGCTAATGACAACTTCCAACAACCCATTTCAGTAACTCCAAAGCACTGAAAACCATGAAAAATGTTTGCAACAGTAAAGCATAAATTCTTATTTGCACTTACATATTATGGAGAAACTGAAATTCTGATTTAGGCCATGTGGCTAGATGCTTTATTTTGATGGGGCCATAACTTACTAGCATCTAGTCCATACAAAGCTGGTATTTCCTCATGATATAGTGGCATCAAAACATTAGCTTGCAAGTATGGAAAGTTAGCTTTACCATTTTTTTCAACTCACTGGACATTTAACTTACCATTATAACTGTAATGTCCAACAACTATAAATTCCACAAAAGAACTTTTGACAGGCTCTGTACCATGTTTGAAGTATTTTATGACTGGTAGTTTGACAATGAATCACCCTAACTTTTGCAGACACTTTACAGACATTCTTTGACGACATATTTCTATTTGTCACATACCAGATACCACATGCACAGCTCTCATCTGTCAATTTTTCTGTTTGGATATATATGTGATTTGGGAGAAGCTCATGAACATCGTTCTTGTAGACCTATATCCATATGAATGATCTTGTTTACAGTTTTAGGGAATGTTTTTACTTCAGCTGCAATGAACCAGCATTCTTGGTTTTCTTCCACTGATAATCTGTTTACCTTTCTTCACTACTTCTGACGAGCTATTAGCAGTAATCAGTTTTTTATTTGATGGAATAACACCTTCCTCTGCTTTACCAATATTGCAATAGGAGAACATAATATCAGTAGATTTTACAATGTAACCTTCCATATGGATATCAACTGTAAATAATGATTGGATATACAAAATGTTAATAAAGATCACGAACAACTTTCTGTATTCCAGGAATATAATTAAACAATGTAACAAAGTATTTCAAAGTCATGATATAAGATAATAATGTATGATGTGGTGAAATCGTACAAGGTTTATTTATACTTTGATTCTGGGAAAACAATACATTACAGCAACAATGAAGCATTACATGAGTAATCCAAAAGAAGCATTTATTCAGTTAAAAATATTTTTTTTAAACTTTTTTAAAAATTAATAATCAGTAAATATATAGATAGTAATTGTTTTTACCAAAATTGGCTCTGCAACTAACTGGGTTTTTAGTATTTATTTCAGATATTCACTGTCAACCCTTGGGCTATTGCAACAAAACAGTGGGACTTGACTGTCATTTTTATAACACACCCACAACCTCAAGTGTGCAACATGTTTCTTGTGTTTTACTGGACATAAACCATGGATCCTCAGATTCACAGTACAACATGCTTACCACCATGTTGCCTGATCATGGACTTTTACAACCTTGATTATACCACCAAAAGTACAAATAGGGTCAAGAATTATAGTTAAGACAATCTTAGGTATCTGCAACTAGTTACAAATAATTATAGCTTCTATCTTATTATAATGCAAGCTATTTTGTTTTTCTGCTCATTACTCCTTTCCATAATTTTAGTTCAAGCATCGCCAAACTCAGTAAGGATAGCAAACATGACACAGTAATAAAGATAGACAATTGATTCAATTAAAATATTACTTATGAGCATTGATTAATGTCATATAAAATAACTGGTTAATTGAAATTACAAATAAATTAATTAACATTATAAAAATAACCAACTAACTGATATTAGTGTTTCAATTAATCCAACTACCCAAGTAATCAAAATATTTCTATTATAATTTTTTATCATTATTCTTGATTAATTCAGAATTGTTAAGCTTAGCATCATAACTCATGCAAATAATCAACTAATCAAAATTAGTGTTTCCAATTATCAACATTTTTGATTATTTCAACTATCTAAGTCTCATGTGAGAATAACCAATTAGTTGAATGTAATTGATTACTGAGCCTGACAATTCATCAATTAGAAACTTCCAGTAATAGCCCAACTCTACCCAAGGAATGTCTTAATGGGCTTAGATTTTTGAATTACCTTCCAGGGGTAGTCAAATGCAACTACCCACCTGGGATTCATGTTGATAAAAACTTCTATCACAGGCCAACACTAAATGGTTAATTGCTAACTGCACTACTTGACTTTATCATAATGCACATTCCACACATTTGAGTGAGTTTTTTGTCTCACTTTCCTCATGCCCACTTCTCGTACTCTCCTAATACAACTGAATTACTGTTCCTAGGATAAGTATATCTACTAGAAAGTACAATAAATATTATATTCCCTATTTCAAAATATATAACAGTTGAATGGTTAAGCTAAAATATATTATTGTGTATTTCTACTATTTCATTAATTTGTTCAAAGTATTATATTATCAAGCTTTTGATTCTAGTATATCAATGTCGTGAAACCTGACCTGTCTACTTACACTATGGTTTTGATTTTTTTAATGTAAATAAATTAATTTTAGATGTATTTAGATAATAACAACAAAAATATTTTAAAATTGTAAGTGAACATATGAAAAAGTATTAATATTACATATACCTGAAAAAAAGGTTTTCAGGTAAACCATGACATTATAATATAATTGTGTGAAGTTGTAAATTTTATATTCACAATCCAAATATTAGCTACAGTATGTTAGTGAAACAACTTACTGATCAAAATAGTTATTATAATTGTGCTCCATGACATGTTTAGGTTTGATTACCCATATTATTAATATTATTACTTCCTACTCAGATTTACAAATTACAATTACATATATGATATAATTTGTAAAACTGTTGAATAAATTAAATGTTTCAAATTTTATATGGTGACTACAATATTTAAAAGTTAAAGATGAAAGGAAATACAATGGCTCTATCCTGAAAGCTCTTGATAAGAGTACGAATTTATGTATGTAATGTATGAAGGGAGTTGGTCCTAACGAGTTTGAATCTAGCTTAAGATTCTCTAACTCAGTAACACTAACAACTCATTTATAACTGCATTATCGTCGTTTGAAATCAAGACAATACTTATTATTTTGAGTTACGTTCAGAAATTGTGACAACCAAAATTAAAAAATAAGGTTTTTCTTTTCCATTTTTATCTTGTTTATTATAAAAAAAATGATTATACAAAATATTACTATACTCTTACTAACAATTTTAAATTCAAACAAGAGTTTCAAAATTCGTACCTGTTCATCCGCCATTTTTATTTTCCCCACTACAGACAATCGTTCTCTTACGCGTGCGCACTAACGCTTTTGATGAAAATTGCGACATCTTTTATCAAAGAAATATTTTTTTAAACACAAATCCGAATTTTAGCGTTATAAACCCTCAAACTTGCCTCGGAACCACTGGAGGACAAAGAAAAAGTTTAATAATATTGAAAATGCAAGACTTAGATGCAAAATCATAGAGGGGTTGAGGGGTAGGGGGAAATATGTCTCCCTCTATGCTTTAGAAATCTTAATTCAGGCGTTGTATTCACTATATCAGTGGAATAATTATCTTACTTGATCTTTAATACTGGTCTTAATTACTCATTAGAACCAATGAAATGTAAGATAAAAGTTGGGAGCAAAGTGAGAAGAAAACACACAGAATGTAGTAAGTGGTGTGAATACAAAGAGAACAGCGAACGAATGTGAAACGGCCTCTTTCAGGGTATGGGAGAGCAATGGAGAAATAAGAGAGTAACAGAAATATTAACATATAATAAAAACCAACTGCCATTTCATATTATGAGCTGGAATTGTTGTCTGATTAGATCTGTAACAGGTTTTTAAATGTATTGTGGTAAGTACAATGGCAGGGATAGCCAAAGGGACTTAAGCTGAAGTAAATAAGGACGTTTAAAATTTATAGAGAAGAATGTAGCAAAATAAAAATAGAAAATGCGTATGTTACATTATTATTGTGATACTCAGAAGCCTTTTTAAAGCTCCTTTTTAGTGTGTGGATGCTAAATAAATCAGATCTTTGTGCTTCAAAGAAAATTTCTCAGAGACATTCGAAATTCAGTATCCGCCATAATAAGTCTATTAATTCTCAAATTACCAACTTGTTTTATACCGTTCATTATTTGTGTGGTCCACATATTGCCTCATATTGAGTCATTTTGTATTTTAGCCTATTAAAACAATTGGTGTAAAGAAATGATCGAACAAATAAGGTAAAATAATTGATTTTCAATATAAAATTCATGGAGGACCCCGCAGCAATTGGTGGGTTTAATTGCTTATCGATAATATTTGTTCGCATTTCTTTTACATAATTCATGTGTTATTAGGAACAACTTTATAAACAGTAAAATCATGGACCCACAAACAATTGGGTACATAAGTAGCTTAGAAAAGTTGCTTAATATGTCAGTGGGGGATTTGGGGGTTAACTAACAGAAATTAGACGTATTTGTGGCAATGAGTTTACACTTCTTCCATGGCTCCGTCTTTGTTGTCATTACTAAGCAAGTTGACTGCATATCGGATGTTAAACGTACGTAAAACGGCATTTATTAAAGAGAAAACTGAAATATTAATATTTCAATATATATGTAAAATGTTTATAGCAACCATTAATTTTTGTTCGTTTTATTGTTGTTGTTTTTAACAGAGAAGAGCCTTACATAAATTTAATGAACGTAAGAGGTTAAAAAATCAGAATTTGTATTAGCCAAACGCTTTAGGTTTGGTGTATGAGCATATGCCAAATAAACATTCTTTACTGAAGCTTTGCCATTAGAATTTTATTTTAGCCTAACTGCAGAAAAACTTGTTTGCAAACATACTCCTAGAGGCACCTGGTAGATAGCTTTACCGCAAAAACTTTGTGAAGCAGAAACTCAGTTTTTGCCAAAAACAAGTTATGTCAGGCATTACGGTTTATACAGTTTTATTTCTAACATCCCAGTAATATATTAGCAAATATCTGTCTTGTAACAAATGTATTTACAGAAAATTTTACTAAATGATTTTTGAACTCTGTGTAATACAAATTACATAATGCTTACTAATTTAAAGAAATCGCTGTATTAGCCTCGCAGGAGTAGTACGAGAATGTGACTAATCAGTTATTGTGACGTCACGTGTGAATAAGTTTATTCGTAGTTGCAGAAGCAATTGTTTTGCACTGTACCGACTGAAGCCTCAGAACGTTTCCATCTCTCAACTTCAGACGGATGTGGTGTACAGAAACTTCAACGTCAGACTCAGTACAATTTTCATGAAAATCTTACGTGTTTGGTTATACAGCTCGAAGTTCAAGTGTTATTTTTATTCTGTACAAACTCCATTTATGAAATACTGATTATTCGTTTGTAATTTTAGGATTCGTAGATGGATAAATTGAAGTTTGTTTTTTTATCAAACTTCTGGATCTATTTATTTATTTGTTGTTATATGCAAAGCTACACAATGCCAACCCACGCTGTGCCCAGTACAGGATTGAACTCAAATTTTACCCTAATAAGCTCTCAAGTTTATCGATGAACCACCGTGGATTTCCTGATTGAGCATAACTGTAACGAAATGTTTGTTCTCAATAGTCTGTGTAAATATTTGTACAGACAGATTGTTTAACAGGTATTGTACAAAAAAAAAGATAATCAGTGAATGTTGGAAATAAACATATTAAGTTATTTTAGCAGGAGAAAGCAAACAGTCACAAAATTTTGTGAAAAATAATTTTAAGAATAACAAATTCACTTGACTGTTGAAACAACTGTGAAATGTTGAACTGTAGTAAAAAAAAAGCAAATATAATGCACGTTTTATAATGAACAAATAATGTTGTTTTTTTACCTGAAAAATCAAAATATGACAATTGTCTTATCATGAGCCACGATAGTCGTTTATAATAGGGATCGCAAGGAATTTAAGTTACTTATTTTTATCTGTAAATGTTGAAACCAAACGAATAACGTCCCACAGTTTCTGTTTGCTGGTACAAATATAAGTTATTTCACGTTGTTTTTTTTTACTTGAAGAAATCCCCAAAACATGTGAATAGGATGATGAAGTGTTTTAATTATAGACTGAATCAAATTTTAATTTAATTTAATTTTTTGTGATTATTATGTGTTGTCTAGTGGTTTAATTGTGTGAGGAATGGCAATATTAATGGTAGCGTGTAATTGGTTGTTATGACAGAATAGTCTCAAACATACTTATTTTTATGTACATTTATGCAAATATTAAACCGCAGTATAAGAAACTGCCCTATAAAAATGTAATTGTCATACTCTATTGTTATTAGTGCACATAACTCATAGACATTTGGGAATAAGGTTAAAGTTTATCAAAATCTTCGCGTGTGATGACTATAAAAACGAATCAAATGGTTGTTCTGTAGAAATTCATGGTTCAGAATGTATTATGACAGTGATATATAACATTGGTTTATTAAGATTTTAGTCAACTCTGAATGTGTTTTTAAGCTATATATTGTTAATGTTGTAATTTGTTAGCTAGAGTTAGCTGCGAGTCGTTGATGGTAACGATAAGTTCAGAAAGAAGAATATAAGCCTAGAACTTCTACAAAATTCTAAGGATGTGATGTACAGTCGTTATAAGGATGTAACGTAAAGTTTCGGTATATTTGAACGTAGATTCTATTATGACCTTTCGTGGAAGGTTAGAGTTCAGATGAAGTTAGGTGTATAGTGAATTGCTCCAAGAGTGAATCTGTGTTAACTATCACGCTATTTTGTACAAATAAGATAATATTTATTTTGTGGAGTACTGTTAAAGCGGCTGAAAACTAAGGTTTACAAATGAAAACAGCACTCGAACTTGTAATGACGTTAAAAGAAGAAATAATTAAAATTGACTGGATGTCGAATTATTTTCACCTGCTACTTTGAAAGAACTACGTCACAACAATAATGATACACATTTACCGGTAAATAGTTTTAGTTTTCAAACATACCAGATATTATGAGAACCTAATAAAGGTCAAAGTGTGTTCTAAAGTAAATGAACCACCTTGTGTGGACTCTGACGAAAAGGAGACAATTATTTAAAGCTCTGGATACAACTGTGATAACCAACAATGTAGCGAACATTTGTACATATATACCTTTGACTTTTTGTTATATATCATTTTAAAACATGTTGACTGTGAGCTGTTTGTTTATTGTTGAAATTTATTGCCAACAAGTCACAGACTGTAAAGAATCCGACCCATACATGACACCTGACAGTGACATGGTGGTTGTTAACCTGTTCAAGGTACAATTATCTTATATATATGTATTGTGAACCGTGGTGTCTGTCCGAACGTTCGTCTGTCTCCCGTTTGAAAAGTTTCGCACGCAGGAAAAGCTCAACCTTCACTTTTGAAATGACGGGAGAATAGTCATAAATAATGTTGATGTCAAATTTTATTCGCAAGCAGGATATTCTATACTAAATTGTTAGGAATTAATCACAATATCATTCACATTTCAAAATGTGGCGTGATTTTTAGAATAAAAATGTATATTTATCGTAAATTATTGTTGAGCAGCTCTTAGCATGACTGAAATTCTCAACAATTATTTTTCGCAGTGAGTGGTATAAGTAGCTCAGAGCTTTGGCTCTGAGTGAAACCAAAAGTGCAAACCAACCTTTTTAAAGTCTATGAAATAATTTACATTAGTAGATTAACTTAAACTTTCCCGTCACTGGGGATGGGTACTTTTACTTGTATCCTATAAAAACCATGGGATTATACTGTAGTGTTTTGTGTCCATTGGTATTTACAAATACCGATTTTGTATTAGAAGTTTTACATTAATTTTACATTTACTAAATATTACCCTGTGTTATTTATAATATACTGTCTGACAAACAGGAAGAAGTTATCTATTAATACTCTTATCAAACTTGTTTCCACCCCTTCCTATTGTGTATCTATATATACTTCCTTTGAAATGATATTGTTTTTAGTCAGTCTCTATCTGAAGGCGACTTTCTATTTCACATGGTTTCTTTGACATGATAAAATATTCAAATATTCGAAGCCAAATAGGGCTAGTTGCTCTGTCCACCGCGAGAAATAGAAAGCAGTATTTTAGCGATATAATTTCGTAAGTTTACCGCTGTCCCAGCGGGGAATAAATTACAAGGAATAGTATGAAAATCACGTAAGTTTTAACAATCAACTATAATAGATATTGCGAGTTCTTCACAACAAATTGAATAACAGTTGTTGCTCAAATAACCAACACCGTCTGTATA